TAGTGCCCAGACAGTATGCCACATCTTAAAAGAAGCTGGGTTAAAGGTAGCAACAAAGAAGAAAAAGCCATGACTTTTGCCAAGACATGTCTGCCAACAGCTTGACTTTACAATAAAATACCAATATTGGACTGTGAAAGACTGGAAGTGTGTTATTTGGTCTGATAAAACTAAGATTAACCATCTAGGGTCAGATGGACATGAGTGGGTGTGGAAGAAGCCTGCAGTATGTTGACAGAGCAGCATGTCAAAGGGACAGTTAAATTTGGTGGTGGAAGTCTTATTATGTATGCAACACAAAAGATCTACAAAAGATCTGCATATGACACAATTGTTCATTGGCTATGCACTACTTTTTTGCTGAGGCAACTGGAGTAGTTAACTAGAGGTGGGGGGACACTTTTGCATCCTATTGTATATGATGCATGCAATTTCATAACACATTTGTGACAGGCACATTTTTTAACATCTGTTACTATTACACCAACAATTTGAATGCTTGCATATTTTTATTATTATATCCAAACTGACAATATAAATACATAATAATACAATATCTTTATATTTGGTAATAAAGATTTAAAAACATGCTATTATAACTACTAATTTATTTGTGCCACAACCATAGTTTTGTATCCACAATCTGATTTATAGAAAAGAATCAGATAAATTTAATTCAAGAGTCTTTTAACAGTTTACATACTAATACCTAATTTTATCATAATAACTAATTAGAAAAAGTCAGAGAAGAATTTGACACTAGAGCCTTTGCCAAAGCTGCTGCTCCTGTATCTCCAATCAGATTAGAATGGAGATTCAAAGTCAGAGAAGAATTTGATTCTAAAGCCTTTGCCAAAGCTGCTGCTCCTGTTTCTCCAATCTGATTATCATATAGATTTAAAGAAGTCAGAGAAGAATTTGATTCTAGAGCTTTTGCCAAAGCTGCTGCTCCTGTATCTCTAATCTGATTATTATATAGATTTAAAGAAATCAGAGAAGAATTTGACTCTAGAGCCTTTGCCAAAGCTGCTACTCCTGTATCTCCAATCTGATTAGCACTAAGACCCAAAGAAGTCAGTGAAGAATTTGATTCTAAAGCCTTTGCCAAAGCTGCTGCTCCTGTATCTCCAATCTGATTATTATATAGATTTAAAGAAGTCAGAAAAGAATTTGATTCTAGAGCCTTTGCCAAAGCTGCTGCTCCTGTTTCTCCAACCTGATTAACACTAAGACCCAAAGAAGTCAAAGAAGAATTTGATTCTAGAGCCTTTGCCAAAGCTGCTGCTCCTGTTTTTCCAATTTGATTATAACTAAGATTCAAAGAAGTCAGAGAAGAATTTGATTCTAGAGCCTTTGCCAAGGCTGCTGCTCCTGTATATCCAATCTGATTATTATTAAGGTCCAAAGAAGTCAGAGAAGAATTTGATTCTAGAGCCTTTGCCAAAGCTGCTGCTCCTGTATATCCTATCTGATTAAACTGGATATTCAAAAAAGTCAGAGAAGAATTTGATTCTAGAGCCTTTGCCAAGGCTGCTGCTCCTATATCTCCAATCTGATTAGAATTGAGATTCAAAGAAGTCAGATAAGAATTTGATTCTAAAGCCTTTGCCAAAGCTACTGCTCCTGTATCTCTAATCTGATTATAATATAGATTTAAAAAAGCCAGAGAAAAATTTGATTCTAAAGCCTTTGCCAAAGCTGCTGCTCCTGTATCTCTAATCTCATTAAATCTGAGATTCAAAGAAATTAGAGAAAAATTTGATTCTAAAGCCTTTGCCAAAGCTGCTGTTCCTGTATCTCTAATCTGATTATGATATAAAACCAAAGAAGTCAGAGAAGAATTTGATTCTAGAGCTTTTGCCAAAGCTACTGCTCCTGTATATCTGATCTGGTTATTATATAGATCTAAAGAAGTCAGAGAAGAATTTGACTCTAGAGCCTTTGCCAAAGCTGCTGCTCCTGTTTCTCCAATCTGATTAACACTAAGACCCAAAGAAGTCAGAGAAGAATTTGATCCTAAAGCCTTTGCCAAAGCTGCTGCTCCTGTATCTCTAATCTCATTAAATCTGAGATCCAAAGAAGTCAGAGAAGAATTTGATTCTAGAGCCTTTGCCAAAGCTGCTGCTCCTGTATCTCTAATCTGATTGTTATTAAGGTCCAAAGAAGTCAGAGAAGAATTTGATTCTAAAGCCTTTGCCAAAGCTGCTGCTCCTGTTTCTCCAATCTGATTAAACTGGATATTCAAAGAAGTCAGAGAAGAATTTGATTCTAGAGCCCTTGCCAAAGCTGCTGCTCCTGTATCTCCAATCTGATTGTTATATAGATTTAAAGAAGTCAGAGAAAAATTTGATACCAGAGCCTTTCCCAAAGCTGCTGCTCCTGTATATCCAATCTCATTAAGTTTGAGATCCAAAGAAGTCAGAGAAGAATTTGATTCTAGAGCCTTTGCCAAAGCTGCTGCTCCTGTATCTCCAATCTGATTATTATTAAGGTCCAAAGAAGTCAGAGAAGAATTTGATTCTAAAACCTTTGCCAAAGCTGTTACTCCTGTATCTCTCAAATTATAGTGACCCAAGTTCAACATGTTATGCAAAATTAATGACTCATCATGTAAAGATTTTAATTGCTTATACACTTCTTCACTCAATGGTCTTTTATTAGGATCATGGTCCCAACATTTGGAATATAGTTCAATGTACTTTTGTGGTGTTTCTGGAGAAGGAGGATCTCTCGAGCCTTTCAATCTATACTTAAAAATTTCAAAACTTTGAGTTCGTCCTCCACATGGATTTTTCCCACTAGATATTTCCCATAATATTACTCCAAGACTAAAGATGTCTGACTTTATCCCTCGTTTATACGAGTCATTTTCAAAGGTGACTGGGTCAATATATGCTGTACTGCCTTCACCTCTTGATGTAGATGCAGTTTGTTTTAACATTCTAGACAATCCAAAATCAGCTATCTTTACAATGCCCCCTTGAATTAGAATGTTTGCAGAAGACTGTACAAGTAACTCATGCATTACTTATGCTATAATTATAATTCAAATCATTATTTCATATGCATAAATAGATATCACCTTACCAGATCTTTATGAACAATATCAAGCACATGTAAGTATCTTAACCCATTTGTAATTTCCAGACCCAATTTGTACTTTTCTTTCCATGTTAAATCAGTAAAATGCCTTTTTAGATGTGCACACAGATTTCCACCATCAGCAAATTCAAAAACCATGTGATAATTGTGGGAAGTGTCTACTCATATTTAAGGCGGAATAAGTCATAATTCTAATATTCGCCTTGATATACTAATACTGACTGACCTTTGTGTAATCCTAAAAATCGGATAACGTTCGGATGGTCATTCACTTTCTTATGAGTTTTCAACTAATATACACAAAATCTGTTTATTCTCTGATTTCAGATAGTGTTTATCGAGTGACCGTAATAACAACAATAACACAAACCTCCTTGACAAACTTCTTGTACAATTCTTGCTCATCGCTATATGTGTTTAGAGAGAACGTCTTCATTGCGACGGTTATGTCAGTGTACTTCAACTGTGCCTTGTACACAACTGCGAACCCACCGTGGCCGACAAACGTACTGTTTAAGATTTCACTTTCTAAATAGCACTTGACTATTCCGTCTTCACATATTTTATCTAACCATTCCTTATCCATGCTCATTAATATTCACTTTAAGATATTGTTTCTTGTGGGCGATTGAAAAATTCTCTCATGAGTCGTCACGCAATGTACTAAATGTCACACAAACGATAACACAATATAGAATTTTGTTACACAGCTGCTGCGTTTAAAATCAGTATGGTGGGGGACACAAGTACGCATCAAACAAAAATCAATATTAATATGGTCCGGCGCAAAAAGTTGAGTAGAAAATTTTTTTTTTGAAATTCATTCACATGCTTAAATAAATTGACTTACAAATTGGGTTTTGAGGAATGTATCAGTAGAAATTTATTAAAACATGTACACAGACAAAAAGTATTACTAGTCATCAATCTCTTCAACTTCGAGATCTTCACTGTCACTTTCGACCAATAATATATCATCGTTTAAATTTTCCTTGGACGCCCTTGCATTCTTCGCTCTAAACGCTCTGAAAATTTTTCATTTTTACCGCTATTATGTTCAGCAACCACTCGCGCAAGGGTTGCCTCACCAATTCCAAGGACCGAAGCAACCTCCTTGCGTAGTGGTAAGTCTGGACGTTGCGTCTGGTACTTTCGAGTATTTAAAAAATATTGGTGAACGCGAATAATCATTCGTTTTTCGTTACTGGTTAAAGAACTCCGCTGTCTATCTAGGTCTTCCATGGGAAAGATACTGTACTTGTCGCCTTCTTCAAAAGGTGGACAAGCATGTTCTTGACAATGCTTTATGGCAGACTATTTATAATAGTGATGTAAGACCCCTTTTATCAAGTCTTGATACTCTAGTAAGGTCTTACCAACGACTGCCTAAACCGAGGAACAGTTATGATTCAGCTGCAGATATAAAGTTACATGTTGATTTAAAGTCAGTTTACAATACTAATATTTTCCATTATCTCATAATCTAGTGGCTCTGAATGTTGAACAAAACTTGTAATTTTACAATTTATACACGAGTTTATTCATGCTTATATTTACTGCATTTGTAGTTATGCAATAAAGTTGTACATTGAAAATGACTCATACCTTAGTATGCCACGTTCTGGGATTCTGAAATGAGAATATATATGCTTTGCAAGCAAATTCTTGCTTCTGATTATTAAGAATCAAGCAACAGTTAACTCAAAACAAATGATTCACTGTTTTTGACTTCAAGACTCAGTAACACTTTAATGGATTTAAATTGAACAAATTCAGTGGTTGCATTATTCAATGAGCCTAATGCCATGTAATAACAAACAGCTTGTGTAGTTCTAGAAAATGTCTTTTGGATAAATTGCTGGATAATATCTTAACCAAATCAAAATCGTATCTGACAACTAACGATGCCGATCGCGGCTGTCTGCGATTAACTTCTTGAAATTAGGCGTAGCAAGCGTATCGCGCTTGTTTGATTCCATTTCGATGACTGCAACACTTAACCCAGTATGTATCGGCAACAATGAGCAATGTGTCAAGGTTGGTAAGGAAAGCAGGAAGTTGTTCCAGCGACATTGGAACATCGAAATGACCGATCTCCGTCATAACATATAACCCATCGTAGTAGCAGGGTGGTAAGGTAGAACGAAATGTGTTTTCCTATTAAACGTTTCCTTCAGTAATCAATTAATTAATTAAACGAATTAAAATAAATACATGCAGTCTTACCTACGACTTGAAACCCAAGCATGCATTGCATGTGATAAAAATCAATGCCATCTTTATTGAAGACAGCAACCCTGACAAGATCACTACAGAGATTATATAGATTTTTTTCTTCTTCTTGTACCTTAGCCTCGCCATGCCCCCTACTGGGACCCCAAGACAACTGATCAACATTGTTTATGATGGCATCGGGCTGTCTCGCACGGCCTGTCAATTTTCTTGCTTTGGACTCGGGTGCCTGCTTGTTAGACCTGCAAATTTTTGTTCAGAGACTGGATATAAAGATTACTGTATAATAATAATTAATGAGCTTACCAGCGCAAAAAGACATCAAGGTCAGGGTTGGCAAAAATGGGTGCCAAGACTGGATTGATATATGTCATGCAAAGTTCTACTTCTCCAACAGGGCTTTTCAAGGCTGTTCTTGGAACCTTTTCTATGCTAGCAATTACAAATAAAAGATATTAATTGCTATGATAAGCTTTACCATTTCATAATTTGGTGCAATCTTACATGTTTCTGATGGCCTTCAAAATAGTGACCTCTCGAGATGAACAACCAATCATTAGCTTTTGAAGTTCTGCAACTGCAATATCTCTTGTAAACTTTTCCTGCTGCAGTTGCTGTAAAAAAAAAATAAATTAGTCGATAAAGAACTTTTCACCAATCACATAGTAATAGAGAACCATACCTTCACAATCTGCATAAGCTTTGTAAACATTTCAAAATCAAATTCTGTCTCCTGCTTAGTGAATCTATGCAGCATGTCTCTGAACATCATTTCTAAGAGATCTTTGCCAAACACTTCCACCATTAACGGGGAATGTTGCTTTGGTTTTAGAAGCAAAATATGCGACAAAGACCTAAGAGCAGAGCAAATTGAAATCAGACCTCAGGATCACCAGGAGGAAGAACATGTTCAAAACATACAATATTTCTTGAGTGTGACTCTCTACTAAAAGGCCACTCTCTGTCGCTAACTCCAACGATTTCTCTTTAAATCGATGCCATTTTTCCGAGACATCAATCCCGTTTATAAGCCATCTGGATTCGCTTCGAGGTGGCAATCCTAGCTTCAGTCCCTTCGTATCGTTGATGATGACTGGGCTTTCATGTGACAACATCCCAGCCAATATATCCAATTCGGCATCGTCGTCAGACCAAACATCACTCATTTGCATTTGAGATGATGCCGCCTGTGGAGTCGGGGAAACACTGGAAAGTCTTTTTTTTGTTCGGCACTGATCAAGTATCTAAATTAAAGTAAAAATTTCTTAAACCGATTAACAACACATGCACTACAGATAGACATGTCCAGTAATAAGCACTGGCATCCTATCAATATAGCAATAGCGGCAATAACACTTACAGGGTCATCACTCGCAGATTTGCGCTTTAGTTGCACATTGAGGACTTCACTGTCCGTATTACTATTACTATTCTTACTGCTCAATCCCTTACGCGGCGTCTCATCTGGAGCAACCAGCGAAGTGACCTATTGTTTAAAACAGGCGAGTGGTAAATTGAGATACAGAGATATAAAAGCAAAAACCCATTTGTCTCACCTCTGGACTACCTGAAGCAAGAATGTGCCGTCTCCCCTTCCGAACAAGTTGAGCATGCGAATTTAGTTCTTCATCTCGATCAAGAACGTAGTTCCACTATTAGAAATGTTAGTTTGAAATAAATGCATATTTGCGACCATAATGATTTAATAAATAAGGAACATCTATGATGGGATCTTACATCGGAAGCCTCGATTCGTCCGATATTCTTCTGCCTTTCTAACTGCTGAAGTTGTATTACCTCCTGCAATTTTGCCATTTCTCGATTATTCCAAAATTTTCTCACCTCTACCGAGGCCTTTTCATCCTCAATGGAAAAGAAAAAGATTCGATGATTCAATGATTCGACGATTCGACACTTTGACAATAACCAAGTTAGAAGTCCTGTTGACAGACAGCGACGGACGCAAGGGTCCAATACTGTACAACTAGGCAAAGGTTGATACTAGTGTGTCGCTGCAATGAATTAAATTCTACCAAGAGACCACGACGAACGCAAGGGTCCAACACTGTATAACTAGGCAAAGGTCATACTGGTGTGTCGCAGCACTGATTTTAAATCTTACACCCCTTGGCCTGTCAACCGACTTGTACAGTATAGCAAAAAAAGAGAGAAATTCTAACCCTCAGATTTGTGATTGCTTTTCGCGCCACCTCTGATTTGTTTCCACTTTTGTTTATAATTTTCTTAACGAGGGAATAAAAGACACCGTGCTCGGCCATTTTATTTGAGAAGTCCGAAAATTGCGACCGCCATTCTAAGAATCCAAGCAGAGACCATTCAGACGCGTCTCTTGTGTTAAAGTATTCCATTTCCTCCTGAGTGATCATTATAGGGTAAGGCGAATATTATACCATGTCTCTCAGCAAACAAGTAACATTTCATGAAGAAACTCACAAAGATAAGCATATTCTCAACTTACGCGCCGTTAGTCACACTATTTGATCTCCAGCCACTCGGTTCAAATTCTTGTTAGGTTGTACTTGATCATAATTTGAGCACATGCTACTACAGTCTGGGATTTTACCAAAGATGGAAATCGATTCTAGAAAAATCTGCGGCAAAATTCTCGAAATATGATTGGCTCTCCCTCATTTTTACAACTTTTTACGTTGCGAATTTTCATAATATTAATGCGCTGCTAAAACCATACAAACACACAGTAAAAGACGTCTAGTTTCCATAATCGCAAATAATTCCTCGTCATATTTTAAAAAAAGTAAATGAGACCAAAAACTCTAGATTTGCTATGTACATTGTTTGTTAGGGTGAAGAAACCAAGAGCGAAAGATCTCTTACAATCTTCAGATAGTAAAAAGCTTAAACGATTAGTGACTAATAAAAAGAATCGTCGGAAATGTGCCAAGGATATTCAGAATCTTTGGAAAAAGAAGAATGGACAAGAAATCTCTGTCTCAATCATTTGGCGTGCACTTAACTCGGTAGGACTAAAAATTGTGTTGCTCGTCGTAAACCATTTATTGCCATTGAATTTCGAGAAGAAAAATCTCTCCGAGCCTTAAAAATGAAAAAAAGAAACTTAATGAGCTTGAACGACTTGTGAAAAAAACTTGGAGGTCGAGATAAAATTAAAAGACTTATCGAAAGCATGCCATGACGAGTTTAAGCAGTAATAGATGTAAATAGCGGTCCAACAAAATATTAAACCATTAACAAAAGATTTAATTCAATAGTGTAGAAACGTTTTGTGTTATTATGAAAAACATTGTTATCATAAAAAAACCAAGCAATTCACACAATAAGAAAATATCCGTAAACCTTTGAGTACCCTCTGTACGTCACAAAGAAATATTTACTATAATTGACTGTACTTGACTAAATAGCCGAAACATTATAACTTGAGCATTACTATCATAGCAAGCTGTGCGTTAAGACTATAGTAACAAGTAGCCCGTTTAGTCGTTAGATATATACAAGTATACCCCCAACCTATTAAGGCTTCCGAATTATTTCCATCGATTAACTCGAGGGCAAAGAATTATCTAGGGTTAGTCGACACTACGTTGTGAGTAGTAAGTATAGATTACAAGTCACTTACTGTTGTCGTATTTAGCTAAAAGTAGGAGCCACAGAAAATAGCTGAATCTCAAAGTCAGCGATCGATTGCTCTCCCGCGATTGTTGACTCGGCAATGTACTGTACATAGTAATCACAAAATTGCATACTCGGCAATTGTCAAACAGAAAGTGGAGGTTAACTGAACAACCTTTGACGCACTAACAAAATTTTTATCGTTCACATTCTCAAGTCGATAGTAACTTTTACAAAAATATTTATCATCTTACTATAGTACAGCAATTTCTAGAATGGCAATGCGAACTGAGCCATTTAAAAGACTGTATTGCTGTCAACAAAAAAAATACCAATACGCGGTCTTATTTCTATATATGCAGTTAAGCATGATATTATACATTCGGATGCTACGAGGAGAAGAGAGGGGAAGTGACCGTGATTCTAATGTATATTATTTTTATTTTTTATGCATCTCTCCCTGCGTAATACGTTCTGTAAGATGTCGCTTACTGAAGTTTACATACTGTAAGTATGCATCTGATTATGCACTACTGGTTTGCATTTTGTCTCATTCATGTGCCTAAACTTTTTTCGCCGTTCGAACCTTGATTATAACAATGTTTTTTGCTCGTCGCCCAACAGTTGTGCATGTTCTACGTATTGTGTATGTTTGGCTTGATTTGATATTTTTATAATTTGCACGTTAATTGGGGTCCGGAGAGCGTGATAACCGGTGCTAACTTAACGTCACTTAAAGCTGAACTGATTTATATATTATCTAGTGCATTTGCGATCTGTCTCTATTCCTGACGCGAATATCTACCAACGATTATTGTAACAACAAATTCTATAATTGTTAAATCGAGGGAATGGGTTGATTTTTAAATTCAGTGTTAATACTCGATTTGCGTATTTAATTGACTAGTCAATTAAATTCTATACTTGCTTTTTTATTATTATTAATAAAAGGTTATTATTTAGAACGATGATGATGACTTTCAAGTTGTCCGCAAACAAAAGCTTCTTGTCAAAACTTTTCTACTAATTTTAGCTACCAAATTTTGTACAATTATGTTGTGTCATGACTCGGTTTTATTTTACGCTTCAGATAAGAACTTAAGAATTCACACAGCGACTCCCATTTTTTCCGCACAACTCGTGAACGTGATTGGCTGACGATTAATTTTTTTGGAAATTGAAAATTGAAAGTAAGTATTCTAAAATGACATCATCGCCATGTTTGATAAGTCCATTATAAAGATAATATTGTTATTCGGCTGATCGACTATTGCTTAACGCGATTTTCGTTCTTCATTTCTTCTTCACTCTTTGCAAATGTTTTTGTGTCGTCATTGTACTGTAACTTCACAACAAAGAATGTAAATAAAATTTTCTGTCTTACTTTATAAAATACAGTTGAGGCTGTTTATAGTGAACCGCTCCGGTCTGAGGCTTTTAGTTCAGCATTCACTACAGCAAAAGTCATGTGATATGCACGCAGCAATGGAATAGTAATCCTTTATTATGTTTATCAATTCCAGATATTCTTTACATATTGTTTATCGAGTAGCTTTGGTACTAAATCATTAAAAATCGACGATTATTTATAATAAATATAAAACGTTACATGATGATTACAGTATGCACTGACATAGCCAGGTTCACTATAAACAGCCTCAACTGTATGATCAATAGCTTCAAAACCATGTAACATTTATTAACAGTCTTTCGCAAAAATGAAGATTTTGAAAAATATCGAATTTATAGTAAATTTTGCAGATCCGGTAATAATTTGATGATTCGTGTGTCTAACAGTCGGTATTTCGTATTTGTTGATCATTGAGAAATCACGGAATACTTTTTTAATGTAGAAACAAATAGTAAACATGTATTGCATATTCGCCCCCTTGCATCAGGACCAGGGAGTCATCATATAACCTTTTTAGTATTAAACAGGTCTTTAAGTGTCTGTGCGGTATCGATTTAAAAAACCCCATTGGCTGTACCGAGATAGAAAAACACAGTGTGCACTACAGAAAGAAACGTTACCCAATTTAATCGACCGTGAGAAGTTAATTATTTTCAGGTCTCGTTACAAATTCGTAGAACATCTTTTTAAACTATTTTAGCTTATCATGTACATCAATAATGTCAATCGTGTAACAATGTGGAATATAAAACCGGCAAAAAAAAAATCAATAAATATAAACCTTCTTTTCTCCGCATCTCTAATTCTCCAGCTTGGTACTAGGTTCTCTGTCGTAATCGTCATCATGGTCGCTCAAAGAGGTAATTTCGAATACAATAGAAGAGAGTTACTCTTATAGTGTATCTAATAATAGAACTTGATGTCATCTGACATCATCGATTGCAGACGTCTACATTGCCGCTGTTGCTCGTACTCCTCTGGGGGGATTCAATGGCTCTTTGGCTTCATTCTCTGCTACTAAACTAGGAAGTATTGCTGTCGAAGGTAACAAATGTTTAGAATCTTCCAACGTCTACGATTAATTCGTTAACACTAGAATATCACAGTCTAAAAGTTCCAATTTTATTATTTATTTATTTTGCACAGCTGCATTAAAAAAGGCCAACATTGAGCCTAATCTCGTCGAAGAAATAGTTTTCGGAAATGTCCTCTCAGCTAATTTAGGTGACTGACTTTTTGCTTTGCTACTATGTTGTGGCGGTATGTATACAATATTTACATACTTAAAAAACCACCGTTCTGTGTTCAGGTCAAAACCCCGCACGTCAAGTAGCCTTGGGAGCTAAACTTAGCGAGAATGTCATTGCAACAACCGTAAACAAAGTCTGTGCCTCTGGCATGAAGGCCATAATCATTGGTGCACAAGCTATCATGACTGGCAATGCGGATGTAAGGTTTTTAATCAAGTGATCAGGTTGACTTGTACATGTCTTTGATCGCTGAAGCACTCATATCCAAGATGCTTACAGATTGTTGTAGCTGGTGGGACCGAGTCTATGAGTAATACACCATACTATGCCCCCAAAGCACGGTTTGGGTCTAGGTATGGTGATCAAACTCTTGTCGATGGTATTGTTAAAGATGGGTTAACCGATGCGAAGCATAACAATATCATGGGAATTGCTGCCGAGAAATGTGCAGAAAAATACCAATTTACTCGTCAACAGCAGGTATTGACTAGTTGCAACATATTTTTGCGATGTACGTTTCTTTTAAACGGGCTATCGCGGCATATATTTTTTTATAATACATATTTTTATTGCCCATAATAGGACGATTATGCGATCTCATCATACCAACGAGCTCAGGCAGCCTTTGAGGCAAAATACTATGCAGATGAAATTGTCCCTATAACTGCCTCTGGAGGTAGAGGGAAGCCCGATAAAGTTATTACACAGGATGACGAGATTACCAATGTCAGTCTTTTCCCTCTTTCATCGCACGCTTTGCTGTCATTTAATTACTTACTCTGTTTTTCTAGCTTAATGTCGGCAAGCTACGAGCAGTGCGTTCGGCCTTTGTTGACAATGGTACAGTAACAGCACCCAATTCATCTCCTTTGAGTGATGGAGCAGCAGCTGTCGTTCTTATCAGTGGAGATAAGGCGCGTGAACTAGGCATCAAGGCTGTTGCAAAAATATTGGGTTGGGGTGAGGCTGCTCAGGTTGGTCGTTGTCATCCATATTACAATACTATCTTTTTTTTTTCTTCTTTCTTGGCGTCATCCAATTAAACAACAACTCTAATCAAAATCATACACGTATGGATTTTTCGATCAGCAACCTTTGGAGTTTACAACAGCGCCTTCGAAGGCAATCCCGAAAGCTCTGAAACATGCCAACGTTCCAGAGTCATCAGTTGATTATTACGAGATCAATGAGGCCTTTTCTGTGGTAGCTCTCGCTAATTTGAAACTTCTCGGATTAGATAAGGACAAAGTCAATGCATTTGGTGGAGCAGTGGCTATGGGCCATCCACTCGGATGCTCGGGTGCAAGGATTGTCTGTACTTTGCTCTCTGTGCTTCGACACAAAGCCGGAAAGATTGGCGTAGCTGGAATTTGCAACGGAGGAGGAGGAGCAAGTGCCATCGTTATTTCAGCAGAGAACCAGTAGCGAGAACAGTTTATTTATTTATTTATTTATTTTTCTCACTTACTTGCTGTTGATCTTGTCGAAGCAAGCAGTGGGCATAGTAACATATACTGAATGTACTAATTTGAATTAAATAATAATCGTTATAGATGCCTATGGCCATAACCAAACCAGACATTGAATTTTCAGGTGACAATGTCAGAAAGACTGGGTAGCCAATGTGCGTAACCTTCGTAAATGCGTTTATATTAATTGTGAAGCCATCAACGCTGGTTGTTAGCAACAATTGATATGTTGTAAGAATCCATCAACATAGTTGACACGTCTAGCATCCACATTCACTTGTCAAAAGTATTGGGGATTGTGTAAAGGGCAAAGCAAATTTACGTGACATCCGCTTCAATTGATAAGCGATGTAGGGGTTCTGCCAACCATTACGACTACTATTCAATTTGTCTCTCATAAAGCTCTATCTATATAGTGTCCTAATGTGCTATCAACTTTATTCTCGCGATTGTCAGCATTACGATCGTGAACAATTACTTTGTAACCTTCGTTTGCCTTTTACGTCCATCGATTTCATATTTAGAGGATTACGATGAATGACGTCAAAAGCGTGTCAGGTAAAAGATTTTATTTAACAGGCAAATCAACCATTATTTGATACAATACTGCATTGACGTAGGGCTTAATGTTCTTGTATGCTTATTTTGTAAACAGATAATTTGACTGTATCTTAGTGAATGACGCTTAAAAAAAATCAAATAATCGAATATGATAGCCCGTGTTACGAATAAAATGAAACGATTTATAAGCGAAGGATCGGAAAAGCGACGAATTTTCTACAGTATTAATGATCGGGGCCGTCTTCGTTGAACACGATATCGACGTCTACGGAGTTTTTTCTCATCTCTCATGACATTTTGATATATCACATGTTGTCGGGTGCCAATAAATTATTATTATGCAAGTGGACATCTTTTTTATCAGTTAAGAGAGAAGGCTTTGTCATTATTTAAATGATCACTACGTTGCATGTAATGACCGCTGGTTATAAGGATTGCCCGGGGTAGTTCTTATAAAGAGAGTCGACTGTACACATAATCGCCAAGCATAAATGTTAGCTGTTGTTTAATAACAGTTCTGTTCCCATGCATCATATTAAAAAGAAATTTAGTTGTAAATGAGCGGACGCTGTGGTTTCAGGTCTACCATAGTTAGTTTTCTTTATTTGGAGGGTTATTTAAAAGGCAAAAGTGTTAAGAATAACATGGCCTTTCGCTGGGTAGAATTACTTATACGCGTAAATTTAGCAATAAGGACACGTAAAAAATTTACCTTGCAGACTTACACGCGGGCATGTAAGCAAAACCGCAGCAAAAAAGTTGTTGAACAGCAAAAATCAATCTTCGGAGTGAGGCATCTGCTGAATGACAAATTTAATAAAAAAGCAGCTTTGTCGAATTTCGCTGTTAAAAAAACCTTTCATTATTATTCGTCATGTATAAAGCATAAATAGAAAGGTAACCTGGTTAAAATAAATTATATCTGTGGCCCAGAATTTTGTCTCTTGACGTGTTCTATGTTCATTTCGTCTCCATGTATTGTTCGCGATGATCTCATCGGTACAAGAATGTTAATAACTGTTGTACCACGTTCACGCACAACGCCAACGCGCTTGCAACCCGTTTATTCGCTACACACTTGTATATTAATTATTATTATAGACCTTAGCTTATTTGCACTTGATAAGTAATATTCATATACATTAAATTCAGTTCCAGCATGTCAAAAGCAACTGCCGAAAAACATTCCAAGAACAAATTCTCTCAGTCTCAAATTTCAACGCAGGAAGGCTTGAAGGAGCCACCAAAGAAAAGAAAACGTGGTAGACCGAGAAAGCAACCCAAGGAATGTGAACCTTGTGTCGATCTTCTCCAGGAACTGAGTAAATTACGTTTCAAGAGGACGATGGAAGACATATATATTCGATACGGAAGAGATTTAACCGAAGAGTCTGATGAGATAGATCTTATTACGGGAGAAATAGTGGTTGATCGGGGGTTTCTGCGAATGACACCGAGAGCCCGATTAGGAACATTATCGAAAATGATAATTATGGATAACTATGATAATTATGCCAACATTGAGGATGATGAAAAAGAGGAAGATGACATGTGGGTGTTAGATCCATGGGACTATGCTGTGTCGGCTGCAGATACTGAAGACTATATGTGGGCTTCTGGTGAGGATAGTGCTGAGGATACTATTCCATTCACGAATAGTTCTACTTCTAGTACCGAAGAACCAAAGACACCGTTTCAACAGACATTAGCAACGAGTATATCTTTTGCCAAAGGATATAAAGTCTCTAATTGTATTACACTGAATGACTTTGTATATTCTGGCTGTTCATCGTCGTCGTCGGATGAGGAATCGCCATCACAACAACGTAAACGAACGATGTTTAATGATTTTGAAATAAAGTTAATAGATGAATGGAATAATCCAATCTTATCGGGAGTTGAGAGTTTGGAAGCATGCTCAGAAGACGGCGATGACGAGGGTGATTTTTAGATCCGGCTTGAAAAATACGTAATGGTAATAATAATAAAAATCAATAAAAAGTCCGATCGAAGATGTTCACACGATTATTATACCAAGGAATATCGTTTCCACTCTTAAATGAGAAAGAGGAAACGCTGGACAATCTGTTATTAGTGACAAACCTTGGTGGGTAATACAGAGATGAGCACGTTAAGGTAACGTCTCTTTATTTAGCGTGATAAACTCAATGATTCATAGATGTGAGTTTTGTTTTTTTTTTTTTTAGCTCCGAGATTATTTCGCCTGGCTCTCTTTATTTCAGTGAGATTTTTTCGTGAATAATCATCATTCAATGTAATCGTTTTAGAAATTCAGGACATCGACTAAATCTCTCAAACTATATGAGGCCCGAGTCTACCGTTGGAAGCTATGAAGAAGCTCGCACGCCATTGGGGAGATGATGATGCGAGATCGGGAACGCGAACGCATAAGCTCTGTTGAACAAAAGATTTATAAAGCTTGTCATAAATAGAGGACTATAATGCGAACCCTCCACGTAGTGCATCACATACTCTTAACCTGACAATCAGGGTTTTTTGCTGGACCTTCTTATAATTTCCACATCAAGCAGTTTTCTTCACGATTATGCTCATGTTCCTTCCTAGTTAAGACATTTCACTGGCATCTGTTATTAAAAGATTCACTTGGCCGATTTTACTATGCCTGATCTAGCGACTCGTTGAATTTGGTTAGCAATCTAATATGTCTACCTAAATTTCTGTGACCCAATAGTCATGAACAATACTCCAATAATACGTCTAAAGATAATAAGCGATATCCTATCGCCGTTGAGAAGCTTATCATAAAGTAATTCGCTATGAGAACTCATTAGAGACTAAGCCGTACGGTAAAGGAAGATGGGGCAATTGAATTATCAGCACCAACGAGCGGATATCTTGGAGTTGGGGCAGAACCTACAATCGTGTACGTTTCGCGTCAAAACAGCAATATTTTGAGTAAATGCCCATTGGAACAATATCCTGATAAAGGGACTACTATTATTATCATAATACTGTATATTACTCATATATGGGCACGAGCATGCAACGGAGTCCCTAGAAATTTTATCATGTCCGGTTTCTCACGCGTACACAGCTCAGGACTTCACGTCGTATGTTCGGAAGCCGAGGTGGAAATAAACATCTTCGATCATATATGCTGCATGAGTATAGGCGTGGATAAAAAATGCATGTATCTTGTAGGCTCAGTTTTCAGGTCGCGCTCCAAGATGACAAAGTTCGGAGGAAGTTTTTGGCATCTTTCTGCTTACTAACAGCATTACCTACAGGTAAATCGATCGATCATGAATTCGTAATTGTTGGGATATACAGTTGTCTGTCACCGCCGTTTCTTTTTCAAGCCACCAACCCTCAAACCCCTCCCACATACTTTTTTCTACAAAAGTGTTTGTTTAATTAATTACACTAACAGACTCTTGTTACTTTCACTATGATGTAGGCAATTCCCGCTCACTCTCGGGCGCTTTAGGTGGAGTATAATTATAATTCCACCCGGACAAGGGTGGTGTTTCAGTTGGAATTTTCATTTGTTTCGGAAATCTTGTGTTGGGTTGCATAGACTGAGCTGCTTTAAATAAAGTAAGACTTGTTCGTTCTAGTTCTCTATTCGCCTGCTTCATTTTTCTAAACTTTGCTTGTAATTCCCGCTCCCGAGCCTCTCTCCTGTTTCTCATTAATAGCTTCCATGCACGTTCAATTATCTCATGTCTGTCCAGCTCCTCCTCTGTCATAGGTGGCATATCAGTCTTTGGAGTCTGGTATAGAATCCGTTTCATGATTTCATATCGAGAGTCAGCCGGCGCTTGGACTGCTTTCTTGGGCGTCTTTGTTGTCTGCTTTTGTGCCAGTTTCTGGGCTGCTTGTGGTGATATCTGCTTTTTTGTACGGGCACGGAGGAGGGATAATTGGGAGCGAATAGTTGTCAGTGGACTCGTGCGGAAAAGAAAAGGCATTCTGAATAGTGTCGAAAGTTTTTGAATGGGTTGTAAGAAATTGGATAGTAATAGGGAAGTGTGTTTTCCGAAATTTTGGTCGATCTTTTCCAATTAGAATTTTTTGCGTATATAGCGATAGTGATAAAACTACGCCGAACTTAAACTTTACCCACTTTTTCACAATTCGCTCCATCCGTTCCATCCGTTAGCAAAAGCCTCGTTCTTCACCTGTCCATGGTTCCAATTTTCATCAAACTGATTTGTCACAATCCAGTCTGCCTCAACGCTGGAGTCTCCTCTTTCTTCACACTATATACCTACAGATAGACTCACTCACTTACTCCTCCTAGTAAAATATTCCTCATAAGCCTAGCAAGAAATTAGATAAACTCCATTTCGATAACTTACCGACTGAACGAACTTAAAGCAGAAATTATACTTTACCTGGAAAATCCCTCAAGGCTGGCCAAATGTTCTCATAATTGGTCCTCGGGGTGGTAGTGGCTGAAAAGTTTTGCGAATCAACGATGGAGCCAAACTTTTACTCACTCTTGAGAAACTCTCGCTTGAAGTTGCCTACATAAAACGAATGGAAAATTCTACTCGCGAACATCAACGATACTACATTTTCGTCGAATGGGAAAATGGGCACAGCTACCGCTGACATGTCAAAAGTTGTAGTAGTAGAAGGAAGCACGCTCTGGACGGCCTCAGAAATGTTATCACCGGCGATGAAACATGGATACAACTCCAAATAAGGTAGCCATCAAGGTTTGGCGTGGTCAATTCCAAAGAAATCGTCAACAACAAAGTCATTCAAGGGGTGGCGGCATATCAGTATGAGCCCGAGTGCTTTCAAACCATTACGTACAAATACTTTTCAAAGTATGTTCTGTATTTCTTTTCTGTTGAGGGACATATAATAATAAAATCAAACTGCACCTTGTGCGGTAGTGTGGGTGAGGGGCAGGGGACATTATAACAATCAAACTGCACCTTGTGCATGAGGGGCGGGGGGACATTATAACAATCAAACTGCACCTTGTGTGGTAGTGTGGGGGACATTAATACAGTGCCAAAAGGTGTCAAATCCTATTACTACTATTATAGGCTTCCTTTACATGTAAGTAGATAGATAAAAACAGCTTAAACTGGACTTTGTACATCCACTTGTAAATTCTTCTTTTAAAAAACTAAATACAATATATATATGGAAAGTATTGCACATTTTTATATTTATGATATTGAAAAAAAATTATCTGTAATAAAAAAACCAACTTTTGTACCATCTACTGTACTATTTGTCTAAATGGTATGTTTATTTTGATTTAATAGAACAGGTTGTAACAAAAACCCCCTATTTTTTACCTTGCTGCATAAATGGGTTTTGACAAAGTGCTTATAATTGTAACAAAAAACTAGGTTACAATGATGCAACAGTTCAACGGTTTTTTGCAGCCTAATCAGGAAAATCTCCGCAAAAACGATCAGGTCTCAAGGCCACGCATTCTCTCAATCAGCAGTGTCGACAAAAATTGAAAACCGCTGTTACCGCGAACAAAAAACACGACGACAAAATCTGAGAGAAATTACTAAAGCAATTTCTAAAGCTAAAAACCGACGAGTTTCCACAAGAACAGTTCACCATGCACCTCATGAAGAAAGTGTATTCCTTTAAAAAGGCCTCTCTCGTCTTAGGAAAAAATTCGACTCGAGTGGGCAATGGAAAGGAAGGAATTGGACTGTTGCAGACTGGAAAAAAGTACGTGAAATACAACGTAAGCGATAATTACATCTTGACAGTTTTTTCGCACCTCAAAGCGCGACGACATAATCAGACGTTAGCAGGTGGAAGCGTGTAGAACCATTTTGTGTACGTTGTGATAATAATAACTGAACAATAATAAAGACTTAAGTTGTAAACCGAATAATTATTGAATCCAATACAAGTTCGGATTATTGAGAACAAACCTCGTTAACCCAAAGATGCGAACTTAAGCTTCGGTCCCGTTGACTTCGGATTAACGAGGTTGACTATGTAAACGGAAATTATATATCCTTTCGTAGTAGTAGTAGTTAATCCGTGCATTACATAGTCAATTCAACAAACTGGTGACATATTTGGCTAAGAAAGGCTGTTGCAACTCTCCATAACATTGCCGTAGCTTTATTATTATTGTACAGCCGATAATAATAACTTACAAACGCGCCGGATTAATTTGAGCACGCCCAATTGTGTGATTGATTGGCACATGCAAGTATGTGACACTAACAAAATTGAAGGCGGATGAACACTCTTCGCAAAATCAACATTCAAGATGCCTGTCCCGACGATCTCGCACTTCAAAACCAATATATACGAACACCTTGAGGCCTTACCCAGAGCTACTTTGGATAGGCTATACTTGGAGTCTGCAACATGCTTAGCCATATTCAGGTTGTTAAGATAGTCTTGAAGCAGTCTGGTAGTTCACCCGAAAGGATAGAGTAGTATTCGGTGCAAAGAAAGATCAACAATCCAGATCTTACAAAGTGAGCTTTAGATATGTTTTCCTGATTGTTTAGAAAGGCACACGTTTTAGAATCTTTACACCGTCTTTTGACGATGACTGCGTGCGCGTGATCTGATTTGCACTTGAATACAACTACTACCTCACAGACTGCGAATGTTTTAAATAATGTCTCCTAGTTGGTACTATTTCTCTGATATTTGATATTATTTAATACTATATACTCATATACTTCAAAAATAATAAAGGCTACTTCCACCTCTTGCTAAGCAAATAGTTATGTCACTGCTTTTCACTGAAGAACAACTTTCGAAATCTGATCTTCATCAATGGGTCTACCAGTCAGAGGGAACAGTGTGTGTATTTTTATCTCTCACTTGCGTACAAATAACGACGGAATATCGATTGCCAATTTGATTTGATTCCACGAGATGTTTGGGTAATGCAAAAAAGGACAAGTAGGTAACTCTGCTCGATTTTCTTTAAAGGAAATTAGATGAAGCATT